TTCTGGAGTCTTTCAGTGATGTTTACTTAATATAGCCTATTTTTATTAGCATTCCATCTATTATTGGGACACAACATTTTTTTAAAGGCTGTATCATGCTAGGTGTGGTGGTAGACATTCTAGAATACAGGACTGTAAATTATATATAGGTCAACATGAGCTATATAACATGACTTTGTCTCAAATAATAAAAAAAACACCCATGCAAACTCAAGCAGACAAAAACCTAGCATAGAACTGGGGAAATGGGCAGCAGGCCCCAATCTTAGCTGAAGAACTATTAGGCAGCTGATTACTGCTGGGTGAGGAAAAGCTGATCTTCTTTAAGGGACTGATTCTAGATAGGCTGACTAGACCCCAGTGGATGAACTTGCACTGAGAGACATCAGGGGACACTAATTTGACTCAATAGTCCTTAACATAAATGACAGAATGCATGAAATCCAGTATGTATGGTGGCTATAGGATGGTGCCAATAGGGAAGGGGGTATAAAGAGGACTAAGATGAGGTGTATGAAATACACAAAATTTCAATAAAAATATATTAAAAAACAAAAACAAAAAGCAAACAAAAAGAGGAATAAAAATGGCTGTTTTTTCATAAGTGACTTGTTAACTAAGAATGTCATAGAATACACAGCAATTCACAGTAAGTCATGAGGGAGTAAAGAGGTCTTAATATTTTGTCTTAAGCCATCTGAGACAATGGGTTAAAACTTAAAGGAACTATTTCAGAGTACAGCATATAATTAACACCTTTAGTGAAATGGACAAAGTGATGGCAGAGGAAATCTAAAGCAATCTTCAAAAGCAGCACATAAAGAAAGAATGGGCAGGACACCCATTCATCCTGAACCACTGGTTTATGTATATAAACCAATTCTAGACAGATTCTCTATAAAATGTTCAAGAGACTGAATGGATCTGATTTAAGCTCACAAAGATTATACTGGTTATCTATAGAGAATGAACTAGAAGATGGCAAAAGTAGAAAGACACCAGTTACGAAACTACAGTTGTCTTGGCAACTTGGTGGTTTAGATTTCAAAGATGAGAGTAAAGACATAGAGATGTTTGTACTCTAGAGCTACTATGGAAGCGTCCTGCCCTAAGACAGGAGTAACAAAACTCCTGATTTGCTTTCCTCTAGTCTCCTAAAATCTGGTGGTTCCTCTTAGTCTGAAATAACCACTTCCATGAGTACTTAAGCCAAAATCTAGAGGTACAGATGTCATCTATTAATTCCATTTTCCTTCAGCTTAATCCATGAGCAAGTGTTCTTGACTTCTACCGTATTTCCAAAATCTTTCTCAAATTGATATATTTCTGTCTTCCCCTGACAATCCAGATAATTCATCAAATACAAGGTATGTCTTGCTGCTGCAACTTTGTAATTGCTCTCCATTTTCCTTTGCTTTTTAACTCACTATGTAGACCAGGCTGGCCTTGAACTCACAGAGATCCTCCTGCCTCTGCCTCCTGAGTGCTGGGACTACAGGCAAGCGCCACCAACCACATGTGGCATGCTTTCCCTTTTTCAACCAACTATCAGATATCCAAGTGGAGATGTCAAGTAAGCAGTTGAATTTATGATTTGGAAGCTCAGAAGTAAAATGACCTAGAGATATAAAGCTGGGAATTGAACATATGTAGATAGTACTTAAAGCCATGGAACTGGATGAAATTACCTATGCATATAGGAAAAATAAAAGATCTCTGGATCATGACAACAGACAGCATCTAAGATGGATTTCGTGGGGGGGGGGGGGGAATCCAGTTAAAGAAAGCAGAATGTCTGCCATACCACCCCAATACCCTCTGAATTCCCAGATTTTTGTAGTCTTCATAAATGAACCCAATAAACCACCCTCTCCTCAAAACTACACTCCACAACACTGCACTACTCTTACTTCCTAGGCTGCTTCTAGGTATGTGAGTACACATACACACACACACACACACACACACACACACACACACACACACAGCTTGTTCTTAAAGATTTTATCCATCCCTATAGCACCAACTACCAATAACCTACAGAATCAATTCTGGTGAACCTTAAACAATGTTTTTGTTTGTTTGTTTTTTGTATATCCAATAACTCTCATTTACCATTTCATTCTAAACTTCTTAAATATATTATTAGTGCATGCATTAATTATATATATGTATGTGGACGCACATACCATGGCATGCAAGTACAGGTCATTAGACAATGGATTCTCTCTGTCTACCTTTAAGTGGGTTCTGAGGTTCAAATTAAGGTCACCAGGATTATGCAGTAAGTGCCTTTACCCACAGAGCCATCCCATCAGCCCTATCATTTCATTCTAATTGCATGTTAGGTGATATTAGAAATATTGCTGGTAGCAATAAGACCAAAAAAAGAAAGAAAAAAAGACCCAGCATCTAAGAAGGGAGTTTCATTTAAGAAACTCATAAACTAGAGATGTGACTCAAATGGAAGTGGTAAGATTTCTTACACGTCTGTAACTGTCCTATATTTGTTATTTTGGTTTCCCTTGCCTGCATCCACTGGTGATTTAAGCTATAAATCATTCTAAATCTGAGACTAAATCTGAGCTTCTTTTGTTTAACAACAGTAGTAGTAAACTGGGAAGCCAGTATCTCCACTGGCACAATTAAAATTGTAAACAGTAGCTTTAAAAAGTACTGTACTTTAAAAAGTAGCTGGCACCATGGTACACACCTTTAGTCCCAGCACTCAGGAGGAAGAGGCTGGAGGATCTCTGTGAGATCAAGGCCAGCCTGGTCTACATCGAGAGTTCTAAGCCAGCTGGGGCTACAGGGAGACCCTGTCTCAAAAAACCAAACAAAACCAAACAAAACCAAAAGTACAGGAAGTAGAATGATCTCTGGGGTCAAGCAGACAAATTCAAGGCAAAAAAAAAAAAATGCCTAAAAAAGTGATTATTAAGCTTAAGAGTTGGGTCTTTATCCACTTCAGTTACCTTGTCTTAATTAAAAATTCTTTGATCACTTATATTATCTGTGTCACTAGACTGAGTTCCCTGAAGCTATTTACAATGTCTCCTTACTACTTTGTAAAGCCTGAAAAGCCTTGCCCAAAGAATATACTATTTTTTGAAGAGGTAAGACTTTACCATATAGATCCTCATTCAATTTCTATGCCAATTCCAAATTAAAGTTTAACTTTAGTTGTTTTACTAATGAGGTTTTATGGTACTAGTGAGAAAGAATGAACATATCAAAGCTTTAAATAAATAGTAGTCATCTTTGGCAATAGGAAACTACAGCTCTTCTGGCCACAACACAGTTTCGACACTTCTTAAAAGGCAAAAAAGCACAAGATTCTACTAATCTATCATTTTCTATTTATTTTAGATGGACTCTCACTGTGTTGCCCAGAGCTGGCCTGGAACTCCTAGATTTAAATGATCCTCCTGCCTTAGTCTCCTGAGTAGCTGGGTCAAGATGCTGCACGTATGGGGAAGTAGCTCAGCACAACAGTGCTTGCTTAGCATGCACAAGGCCTTGCGTTTGATCCCCAGCTCTCAAAAAATGTTTGAGCTACTTCTAAACTTGTTCTAAACATCTCATTCCTTATCATCTCAATAACTTTTTTCCCATTTTTCAGTACTACAAGTAAAATGAGTTTAAAGAACTATTTGGAATGGAGAAGGAAGACTGCAAATGCTGATCTAGTGCAAATCCTTATTCCAACTCTCTCCCTATCTAGTTTTCTAGTTTGGTTTTTTTTTTTTTTTTTTTTTTTTTGGTTTTTTTGAAAAAAAAAAAAAAAAAAAGAGGACGATAAAACTCACAGAGATCTGCCTGCCTCTGCCTCCCAAGTGCTGGGACTAAAGGCCTGGGTCACCATGCCCTGCTCCTATCTGGGTTTTTTCTTTTCTTTTTTTTTTTTTTTTTTGGTGTTTTTGAGACACGGTCTTCCTGTAGCCCCAGCTGGCCTGGAACTCGCTATGTAGACCAGGCGGGCCTCAAACTCACAAGAGATCCAACAGCGTCTGCCTCCCACGTGCTGGGACTACAGGCTTGCGCCACCACACCCTGCGGCGAACTTATCTGGTTTTTTATCTCAGTCTCTAGTCCCTGTAGCTGACTCATTTCTGAGTTTACTCACTTGTCTCGTCAAACAATGTTCAAGTGTCTGAAAGGTAATTCATGAATGAATTTATTGAAACTTCAAAACAACTTCATCAACAGGTATACATATCCACACTTTTCCATATGCAGCTACAAAGACAAACTGATGAAATATGCCATGATCAATATTTGAATATTTCCTATGTGTCTTCCTCCCCACTAGAGCATTCCCTAACATTGCCTCCACCTTTTGACCTTAGTCTATTCTCCCTGTAGCCAGACTACTGACACGAATTTGTTCACTATCTCTGCTTTCCCACTCTTTGAAAATACAAGAGCAAAGTAGAGATTCCAATAATAGTTAATGATGTTGCTCTCCTTTGAAATTTGGTCTCGAAGTCCTTTCTTCCCATTTTAAAAGCAACGACAGATGACAAATTTCCCCACTGAGGGCCAGACGTGGTATTCTCTGCATGCTATAATGGACATCTGGACATGACTTGACAGTGGCAACGCTTCTTGGCACTACCTAGTCCACCCAGCTATGCAGTACCACACCAGGCACTGAGTTCCCGATTCCTAACAAGAGGGGTGAGCAATGCGTCTGCCGAAAAATGGCCTTCTCCAACCTCGCCTCAGCTCCTACACCAAACCACTAACAACATCAGCGGGTCTTTCTTGATAGACATGCAGGTCTGAGCTCGCCCACAGGGAGAGGTGACAGTCGTTCTGCTCCCTAGCCTAGGCTGCCAGGGACGTGGGTGGCGGCTAACTTTTCATTCGGAAGCTGCCTTCCAGATCCATCCAGACTCCCCTCACCCAGCTTCGCCGTGAGAAACGGTGCCCCGCAGCCTCCCGAGCGCGGCGCCCCGCAGGGGGGAGGACAAAGGCTCCAGCTCGGGAGGACCTACCGTCGCCAGTCGCTGAGGGGCCCGCGGCAGCTCGGGGCCGATGTCCATCCTCTCGGGTCCGTCAGCCTCCTCGTCCGCCATCTTAAGGGAAAGTAACGTCCGCAGTTCCCGAACCCAGGCCGGAGGCGAGCGGAAACCTGTGGACGGCTCGACACGCCAGGGACGACACTTTTACGACGGCCCCTGAAGTCAGGTTTGTCGCAGAATCGAGGAGCGGCTTCCGGTCCGCTTCCCGGAAGCGGGCCCCCGACCCGGAGGGGCTGGAGGTTTTTGTCACTGTAGTTGGTCTTAGTGCTCAGTGGCGGGGCGCTTGTATAACAAGCTTCGTTGTTAAGAGTGTGTTGTATCTGCTGGGTAAAAGTGTACTGTCCACTAAGCTGAGCGGCTGAGAAGCTGCCCTCGGGAGGGTTGTTGGCCCCAGGGTGTTCGGACGCCCAACCCACCCGCTTTGAGGCTCCAGGGCCTGCTAGACGAAAAGAGTAGTCGGCTCTAACGTCGTTAGCACAGAGGTCCTGGGCACTTGCACAAGTGTACAGAAAAGCTCCCTCCGCAGCTTTACTGGGGCTAGGAGCGGTGAAATGACAAAAACTGGAAATCTAGTCCATTTGTCGGTGGAGGAAAACAAAGAACCCCGTTAAGAAAAAGAACAAGGCAAATTAAGAAAACAGCCAGAAAAAAATTGAGGGGAAAAAAAGTCGCTATAAGCGATATCTTTATATATATGGGCATCAAAATGAGAAGGAATAGTTCTGAACTGAGAGCCCTCAAGGCCATGATCAGGATTGGAGCTTCATCTGTGTTTGGTCTAAGAAACGAATGATCACTCTACAGCCCCAGCCTGGTTTGGAACGCTATGTAGCCTAGAGTGGCCTTCCAACTCCTGGCAATCCTCCTGCCACAGCCTCTCAAATGCTGGAATTACACCGTGGGCCACCATGTGGGACCCAAAGTATTTCTTTATATTTTTATTTACTCTGTGTGTGTGTGTGTGTGTGTGTGTGTGTGTGTGTGTGTTGCACATGCTACAGTAAATGTATGGAGATCAGAGAACAACTTGGGGGAACCCGTTCTGTCCTTCCACTATGTGGGTCCTGAGGATCCAACTCAGGTTGTCAGGCTTGGTGGCAAGCACCTTTGCTTGCTGAGCCTCTCTACAGCTCAGATTTTCTTCACACACTTGAACCCAAACAACACATTACTATAGATCTCAACTAAATAACAGTTTTCTAATATTAACCTAGAAGTTAAATTTGCAAAAATGTACATCATTTTAAGATAATTTTAGATAAATTTTTAGATTTTTTGTTTGTAAAGTTAATTTTCATTTAAAATGCTGTTTATATTAATATATAGGCTATTTTGAAATGACTGTAAGCCAGGCATGGATGGCTTACACCTATAACCCCAGCACCTGGGAGACTGAGGTAGGATTGTCACAAGTTCAAGGCTGTTGGAGCAATATAGTTCCAGGTCGGCCTAGCTACACAGTGAGACCATATTTCAAAACAACAAGAAGCTAAGCATGGTGGCACATGCTTTTAATCTTAGCACTTGGGAGGTGGAGTTTGCAGGATCAGGAGTTTAAGACCAACCTTGGCCACATAGCAAGTTGAGACCAGCCTGGGCTATGTGAGACCCTGTATCAAAAAAGTTATTTTAAAAAATCTCCATCTTGGGGCTGGAGATATGGCTCAGTAGTTAAAAGCACTGGCTGCTCTTGCAGAGGACCTGAGTTCAATTCTCAGCACCCATATGGTGGCTAACAACTTTCCATAACTCCAGTTCCAGAGGAATCTGATGCTCTCTTTTGACCTCTGTGGGCATTGTCCAACATGGGTGGACTTAGATACATGCAGGCAATACACTCATACACATAAAATAAAAATAATAAAATATTTAAAAATTTAAAATCTGTCTTAATTTCTAATTATTAAATATTGATCTAAACCACGTACATAGACGATCTCGGTAGTCTCCAGTAATTTTCAAGAATATAATGTGATCCTGAAACCATAAAGTTTGAGAAACACTTTAGTGTTTCTGTCTTAAGAAGATATATTACTGGGTGGAAAAGTAGTGTTAAAACAATATGTTTTATTAAACAAACAAAAAATGTGCCTAGGACTGTGACTCAGTGGTAGCGTGCTTATCTAACATGCACAAAGCCCTAAGATTAATCCTTAGAACTATAAAAATTTAAAAAAATGCACCTATAGTCTAGGGATGTAGTTCAGAAATAGAGTGTCTCATGCACATTGCTCTGTGTTTGGTCATCAGCACTGAAGAAAAACGCAGCTATTTGTATATTAAACATATTTAATGAAGAATAGTAATAATCAAAATACTATTCTTGTGTTAACGAAGACTGTTTAACAAAGAATGCCAGTCACCAAAATATTATTGATTTTGTCCCAGTCTCATTAAAATCTAAGAGTCCTTGGATGTCCCTAACAAAAAATACCTTTCTTGCTTAAGATAGGTAGAGTTGATTTTTATCACAGGTTCAGTATCCTTTTTCCAAAGTGCTTGGGATTAGAAGTGTTTTGGATTTGGGATTTTTTTTGATACTGGAATATTTCCACATACATACTGAGATATCTTACTAAGACCCAAATCTAAACAAAATTATTCCTTGAGTTGCAAAATTGCAAAAATAACTTCCTAATTTCTACTTTACCTGTACTTTCTAGCTTTTCTTGCAGTAAGTATGCATTATTTGTGTAAAAGTGTGTTTTTTTAAGCTGTACCTGTTTTTAAAAAATAGTTGAATTTTGGGTGTGGTGGCACATGCCTGTAGTCCCAGCACTTGGGAGGCAGAGGCAGGCGGATCTCCATAGTGAGTTCCCGGACATCTGGGGCTACAGGGAGACCCTGCTTCAAAAAGACAAAAAAAAAAAAAAGTTGAATTTTTACAAATTTCATACAATATATTTTGATCATATTTAGCCCCGCCCCACCATCTGCACCCTTCTTAAAGCTCCTCTCTGCAAGATTTCATGTACGCTGTCATATATGTTAAAGCCTATTGAACCAATTTTATGTCCCCAAATGTCCTTCAGTGTGCATCCATCCCCTGGAGCCTGATTAACCTATCTAGTGTCACACCCTTAATTGGTGCCAATAGTTCTAAAGTTGGGGCTTCTTACTTCCTCACTTCTATGCTGGGATTTTGTCTGGCTTGAGCTTGCATGAGTCTTGTGCATGCTGTTACCATTGCTGTAAGTTCATATACATAACTTCCCAGCTCTCTGGTACACTCTATTTCCTTATGGTCACCTCTGACTCTTAAACACTCTTTCTGTCCTGTCTTCCTCAATGGTCCCTGAGCCTTGAGTGGTAGAGGTTTGATATAAGTGTCCTCTTCAGGAACACTCACTCTGCAGTCTCTTATTCTCTGCACTTTAGCTAGTTGTGACTTTGTGGATTAATCACCATTTATTGAATGAGAAAGCTTTGCCGGTGAAAGTTGAGAGCTGTATTAATATTCTTTCTGCCCCCTATTCTGCTATGTTCCCTGAGCCTCAGGTGTAGAGGTTGTATTGTAGATGTGTCATTTAGGGCTGGTCACCTAACAGACAGTTTTCTCTGCATTTGACCAGTTGTAGAACTTTGTAGTAGGGTCCATATGTTGCAAAAAAGAAGCTTCTTTGATGAGTGGTCAGAGGTATACTTGTTAGGTTAGTCAGGAGCCTAAAGATGTACACATTTTTTAAGGAAATTGTGTTTAGTATCTTCCCTGCTTTCCTAGCCAGATGTGATGGGATCATTTCTTCATCATGGAGAAATAATAACTATGCACCTAGCCTCCCAAATAAAATTCTTTGGATTTCAGTATCTTTTATTTTTACAATTTGCTGGTTATTAAATCTAGGAGAATTAGCTTCTCTGAGACTTGAATTCCTCATCTACAAAATAGATGTAGTAAGACTACTCACCTACATGATGCTTGTGATGATTAATGAGACACACCACCTAAAGCCAGAACGTCTGGTTGCATGTAGTACAGTGTTTGCTCACAGCTAGGTGGACTTTTTTTCTTTTCTTTTCATGGCTTTCCCGTATCCAAAAGCGGAGAGGAGTCAGGAATCAGCAAAGGGTCTTTCCATTGCAGAAGTCTTGTTGGGCGACAGTGTCCCCAGCCAAGGCTGGAGTTCATTCCTATTTGCTATCCTTAAGTAGGAAAGTCCTTTAACACTATTGCCAAAGGACTGTTGTGCATCCTACTTCGTTGTTCTTAGCAGATCCTCATTTTTTTCTACAGCTTTATAAGCTTGTCCCTAGTCTGATCAGAATCTGATAGTCCTTGGTGTCCCTACAAAAAGTATCCTTTTTACTAAAGAAAGGTAGAACTGATTTTTAAAAAATATTTTCAATGTACATATAAGTATGCTTGTGTGAGTTTACATGTATCTGGGTCCTCTGCAAGAACAGTAAGTGCTCTTAACTGATGGTGAGCAATATCTTCAGCCCGAGGTAGAGGTGATTTTTATCAGAGGTTAAGTATTCTTTATCCAAAGCATTTGGAATCAGAAGTCTTTTTAATTTTTTTCAATATTGTAATATTTTCACATATTCTATAATATTTCTCATATGAGATATATGAATAAAACCCAAATCTAAACAAAAATTTTACCTTGAGCACAGAGTCTCAAAGCAAAGGGAGATTGTGGAGTCAGTTTCTAAGGTTATAATAATTTTTAAAATAAGTACTGAGCTTTAACTGAAATTGCTATTATAATATCTGAAGTAAGTATTTATTCTTTCTATATAGCTCATGTCAGGAAACTCATGTATTCCTGACCTAAGCTCATCCTAGATGTGATGTGATTCTCTTTCATACTGTTGCCCTAAAATTGTTTGGCTTTTTCACTTCTCTTCATAAACAAGACTGAGCTATAAAAAATAATGTATGTGTCATATACACCTTTTAGACATACAGTGCATAATTGTGGGTATGAAACAAAGTTCATGGTGTAGAATTTTCCACTTGTGATAGCATGTGATAGCTCAACGTGATGCCACATGCTCAAGTAGATTCTAAAGCATATCTGATTTTAGATTTTCATATTAGAAATGCTCAATCAGCATTTGGAAGTAGAAAGTTTCCTAATTAATGAATTAACTGTTAAATT